ATATGCTACCTTCCTTTCAGACCGAACAACCTCTTTGGTAATCACCCCATGAGTGATCAGCTCACATATTGCGCTATATCTAACGCTAGGTGTCGCGACTTACCATTATACACTTAGTTATAAACCTTAACCAAGACTTCTTAACTATCAAAGATAGAAACTGGTGATACTATTTCGGCCAAAACAAAATCTCATAAATGAAATTATTTATTCAAAATTCTGTTTACTAGCATATGCTAATGCTACGAATTTTTTTATTTTATAGTCAAATTTTTCATGCAACTTTGCTCCTTGGAAGTCCATGAAATGGCACCTCCCCAAGCAAATACACTCAACCACTTATAGAAGAATGATCTTCTATATGGATAATCAAACTTGCATCTAGATAATCTTCTACCATCGAAGGAAATCTGACATATAACAAACCATAATTTATGATTCCATTCAAACACTCGAGTTGTGATATTTATTGTCCTCTATAAGATCCAAATTTCACACTCGCATCCATGAGAGTTCTCATTGGAGACAAATCTCACAATCGAACTTCTTAACAACTTTCTCAATATAAAGAGAGTTTGTTAAAGATAGTTTTTTATTTATATGTGTGATTCAAATTTCAAGAATCACATCCACCTCTCCCATGTCTTTCATTGTAAAACTTGATGACAATAATTCTTTTGTAAGCTTTACTTATCTATGGCTAGTGCCAAAGATCAATATGTCATCAACATATAAGCAAATGATTATTCCATTACTGGATTCATCAGTTTGTTATATAAACACTTATCCTAGTAATTTAACTCAAACCACTTGATAAGACAATCTCATTAAACATTTGATGTTAATGCTTAGGTGCTTTCTTTACCATACAAGTAAATATATACATTTTATACTTACTACAAGGTACAATAAAATCTTAAGGCTACTTCATTTACACTTCTTTTTGAGCCATCGATCCATATCATGGATCATAGTCCATAGCACCCGACCATGAACAATATGTTTACCACTCATGATGGCTCGGCCTTAACCCTAATTACTTGTATTTATAAGTATCAATGATAATATGTTCGTACCCATTTGGTAACATTATGTTTGCACCCCATTCACACCCTTTTGGAGACGTTACATTCGCACCTTTTCGGTGACGTTACGTTCGCACCCTTTCGGTGACGTTACATTCGCACCTTTTCGGTGACATTACATTCACACCTTTCCGGTGATGGTACATTCGCACCTTTTAGATCTCGAACCATTCGCACCCTTTCGATCCCAAACCATTCGCACCCTTTCGGACCCGAACCATTCGCACCCTTTCGGTCCCGAACATTCGCACCCTTTCGGTCCCGAACCGTTCGCACCCTTTTGGTCCCGAACCGTTCGCACCCTTTCGGTCCCGACACATTCGCACCCTTTCGGTCCCGAACCATTCGCACCCTTTCGGTCCTGACACGTTCGCACCCTTTCGGTCCCGACGCGTTCGCACCCTTTCGGTCCCGACGCGTTCGCACCCTTTCGGTCCCGACGCGTTCGCACCCTTTCGGTCCCGAAACGTTCGCACCTCTTGGGTCGCGACATGTTCGTACCTCTTGGGTCACGACACGTTCGTACCTCTTGGGTCATGACACGTTCGTACCTCTTGGATCATGATACGTTCGTACCTCTTGGATCACGATGCACTCGTATCCCTTGGTTAACGATAGGATCACACCCTTTGGATGACACCCCTTGATGGCATCTTTTGGTGGTATTCCTTGGTGGCACCCTTTGGTTGCATCCCTTGATGGCATCCTTTGGTGGCATCCTTTGATGGCACCCTTTGGTGGTACCGTGTTCGATCATCATTATCAATACTATTTAAAATGAAACTAACATACCTTTGAGAATATTATTCTCCATTGTTTCATCTTCTTTCTCCATCTTTAAAAGTTTATTCACTCAAACATTTACAATCTTTCAGACTTTGATGAATCTCTCGCACAAATATACTAGTCATAGTTCACAAGAAAATACTCTTTAAGATTGTTGGTTATTTGGGTTGTAACCCAGAAATTTGTGAATTATATACTTGGATAATGATTGAATCGCGCACGAGGTCACTTTCCTTAAAGAGTATTTCGACCCTATTCCAAGCCTTTGGGTTACACGAAATCCCTTTGTAGGATAAGACAATCAAAGTCACATTCTTGTTCTAGGCTAAGATACAAGANTAAAGGTAGTTATTACCAAAGGTTGCAAATATCAATATGGTTATCACCAAAGGTTGCAATCATTAATATGGTTATTACCAAAGGTTGTAATCATCAATAGTTGCAAGCTTTTATTTATGTAGTTGTGATTGTTCACATAAACAATTGCAATGGTTCATTGCACCCTTTCACTTAAACCCTTTCACTTAAATATATAACAGAAACCAGTCGGCTTGACACTAAGTTCCGATGTGGAACATTGCACTTTTACACACCGTACCATTTGAATAATATATTATTGAACAACTTGCAGTTTCTACAGGCTTAGAACACCATGAGTTTTCTTTGGTCTGTTATATATCGGATGATGCGCTAGACACAGTTGGAGGACGTCTCCCCGTTACCCAAAACCCCTCCTTCAAAATCAAGCTCTCAAGTCTTGAACAAAAAAAAAAAAGATGAAGAAACTTTAACCGGATTAAACCGGTTTTGGTTACCGGTTTTTGTTTACACGTGAAGTAAAATTCGACTGTGTACTTAGCAAATCCAAGTAGTATGTTTAGAACATTTCAACAGATTTTACGAGTTGTAAACAGGATTATATGATCAAGACCAAAAAAGCAAATCAAATCATTATAGATTTAACTCTGAAGTATAACCTCTAAAGTTGCATAAGATTGGTCTGTGCTTCAACAATTCAACTAAAGAATATGTCTACCAAAATTTAACTTTTGAAAATACTTCAAGATTAAAACGAAGAAGCTATAAACCTACAAAAACCGGGAAGCTTTGGCTCTAACCAGAGTAAACCGGGTCTCTGATTATCAACCAATCCAAAAAGTATATGTTTAACAGAATGTACTAATGAAAAGTGTTTGAACTTTGAAGAATTGTAAGACAAGGTTTCAGAAAATATACGATGACGAAGACCATGAAGAAACCAAAAGCGGATGATTTACATCTATTTGATTCTTGACAAATAAACAACATCAAGAAACCAAACACACAAAGCCTGTCTCCTCCTCTGGACCGATAAAACCGATGAGCTCGTTGTTTATTTAGAGGTTCTAGAGTGCTTAATGAGCCAATCAATGACTGCATCGATGTTTATCGAGTCCTTACACGAGATCATGT